CCCTCCTCTTGGACATCTCTTCTTTGGACGCCCTTTTTTGGACGCCCTTCTTTTGTCTACATGTGCAGCTGCTTTGCGCTCTCACATTGCTGAATTAAAGCCTTACACAGCAGATGGTTACATTGTCCCTCGTACACCCTAAAAAAATGCTAGAAGTCACTTCGTCCTGCTTTGCTCCTCTGATCTCGTCTACTCTGCTTTCTTTTGGAGGTAACCTTTACACTCCCGGCTGCTTCGCGATCCAGGTACTGTACATAACATGTTCTCCTACCTGACTGATGGTCGAAGAAGAAGACTTCCCTGCTTTGCACACCCTACCGATGCCCTGCTACGCAATCAACGCCCATAGCTAGTATGCTTAGCGCAATTCCCGAACTCGCATGCCGGATGCGCTCCCTAGCACAGAGCCATGGGCATGATGTTCGACCGGAGGTGCTTACCCGGAGGCAGGTTTTCATCACATTTTCCGATGCTAAATCCAACGCCCCCCCAAGAGTGACAGACAAGGCTGCGGCCTGGAAGAGGGTTCAGCGGGGCTTCGCCTGCCTAACTAGGTTCTATCGACCGCTGTGCCCACGCCGCATGAGCTTCCTCTCAAGTGACAGAAGCCTCCAGCGCGACCCGGAAACCGCCCAACCGCCGTTGAACGTTGCCCGGCGCTGGGGTTTGCAGTTCCGCTTCGCATGCTCATCACAAACCATATGCCGTGTGGCAGCCATTGAAAAACGGCCGTCAAGCGCCTCTGCACGAGAGTGGACTCCGAAACTTTGCATCTGGTTCCGCTGCATCACCGCGATACGGCCGAGGAAAGTACCCCGGATCCACTACGAACTCGTATCTGCAGCGCTGCCTTGGTCAGTTTCGACAGATTCGGAAGAGCTTTCAAAGAAAACGTCACATCGCACATCGCACGTCGCCATGTCCATGTCTTTCCGGCTGACCAGCTCCATGCAAAGGCCGTCGAGCCAGGCATATGAAGTTCTCTGATGAAGCTTCGGATGCATCGTTAAATCCCTGGAATTGCTTAAATACAACGGTCATCGCTATAAAGGATATGAAGTTATACTGAACAGCCTTTATCCAACTGATAGAACAGTCCGTGGGAGATGTAGCTATATACCAGCACAAGAACTGCTTGCACAATTCAGCAGCCGTAAAGCTATGTCTTCTGCTGACTATATTGCCATAGCTTGACCCGTAGAGCGGCTGCGCGCCATCAAAGTGCGTCTGCGTGTTGCGCTCCGCTGCTCTATTCAACAGTCTTATCGGCTGGAAGAGTTTGTTTGTAAATAATCGTCCGGATGTTGCGGAAAGGAAGAAACTCACCTGCAGGATCGGGCGGCTGCTTCGCCGTTGCAGAGATGAACCCTCCCTGGCAATCTCCGCCTATCCATTCACAGTTCCCGCAACGATCGAAATTCTCATCGTCGACGATCATAATGCAGTCTTCAAATGGAGTTCTGCTCCCGTGCTTGCAGTGCGTGCACGGGTTCTTCATCACATTCCCGGACGTTTGTATCAAGGAAGAAATGATCTCGTTATCGCGCATGGCGGCCTGACCCTCAGCAGAGAAAAGAACACCTCGACTAAGTTGCACGGGTCGTATAATTTGCCGGTCCAGGATACGGTCGACACGTTCAGCTCCCCGTGGACGAAGCCTAAGTTCATGTCTGCGCTTTTGGCTGTCGACGACCTCAAGAACGACAGCTTGTCGATCACCGTGAAATCCTTCATGCGAAGTGACATCCAATTTGGCATTATCTTCGTTCTGTAGAGTGACATGTTTAGATTTGAGTCCGTTTTCTGGTTGTGGTTCGACGGAAACAATCTTTACATCCGTTTTTGCCTTTTTTCTTCTTTGTTCTTCATCCTGGTCATGCTGCTCTGATTGCGAATGTCCTTCAGCGAAAGATCTTGACCGTTTTTGAAAGCCCTGCGGGTCGCCTCCAAGCCTGTCATTGGGAACACCGTTGACCTCGTCATCAGAGGCCTGCGATGACGTTTGACATTGATTGTCGAGATACTCCTCGTCCGCACTGTTGGATCTCGGTACATGTGAATTTTCGAAGTTCGGTTTCAAGTCCCCACTGACAATTTTCTGAAGAGAAATTTGGAGAAAGTTGGGGGGAACTTCGGTCAATACCACATCGGTCAATCTTTGGAAGACGGCCGCGACCTGTTCTTTATGGGCCACCTCAGCATCTCGCAAGCCGCTTATTTGCATCATCGTCAGTTCACCAGCGCATTGCACAATGTCGTTCTCGATAGTAGCACTACTGCGGGAGTGGTTTTCGTGTATACTTCCAAATAAATGGCGCAGACGGAGATTGATCTCAGCAAGTCCTCGCTCGTACAAGAGCTGTGCCGGTTGGATTTTAGCGAGATCATCCACGGCTATCGTGACATGTTTCAGTATGCGTTGAAGAGCCACCGATACGGACTCGGCAGATGGCTGCGTCCTGGCCGAATGTTGTTCTGGTTCACGAGCAGTCTCTACCAACGCGGTGCTCGCAGGTAGACGAGCTTCTCGAGTCAGTAATCGTAGCGCTGAAGCAGTATATTGTACTGACGGACGGCATTCTGCGCTGGGTCATTCTCGTCGCGCTGTCGTGGTGACCGTTTAAGTATGGCGGACCTGGTTTTAACCATGATGCTCTAAAGCACAAGAATCGATCAAGACTGCATTTGAGCTCCAAGAGTAGATTTGCGAAGATCACTGAGGATATTGGAAGTTTCCGATGCTTCGCCTTATTTATGGTGGCTGAAGATGGATGACCTTTGACGGAACTCTGCCAAATCTTGTAATTCCATGGATCAAAATCGCCATAACTGGCTGACCGCTCTTCCGTCCCTATTTTTGTCTTTTTCCGCTGGCATTCCACGCGGGGTAGCCAGTCGCTGCACCAAAAAAAGACCTGCGTCCGATATATGCTGAAAGTGCGACTTTCTCTTATCCCTGTATTCAATTACTTCATTTTTTTATCACATTAATACGTACATACATACAGGCAAGGGAATTATCATACTAAAATGATTATTTGATACTGTATATGTACAATTCAGTCCGTTCAAATTCCCTCGCAAACACTGTCGGAAGCCAACAGGAGGTAGCTTCCACATGCCAGAGACGCTGGGAGATGCCACGAACCATGTTTGAGGGCACCATCTGAACTGGTACTGGATAGCTTGTTTTCCCCCAAGAAAAGCCACGCCCTTTTGCACGCCCATGCTCAGGAGCAAAGAACTTTTTTGCTGCGCATGAGCCACCAACGCCGCCGGAAGGCGGCCACACCCCAACTTTAACCCCCTTGTTATCCCCGGACACGCCCTCACGTCGACCTCAATCCACACCGGGGCGTGTGTAAGAGCACTTATTTGCTTCCATGCGCCACCACAGACGGCAAAAAGCGACCTCTATACGCCCACCCAGCTTACCTACACGCCCAGCATACCCTGCACGCCTATTCTACACGCCAAGCTACCCTGCACGCCTAGCCTGTTCTACACCCTGCCTATTTTACATCCTGCACGCCAGCCTACGCCCCCTAGTTGCACTCGCTAGATGGTGGAGGCAGACCTTTGTGCCTTGCGCACGTCTAAAAGACGCCAAACCCTTCGGTTGCTTCGTTCCGTGGTCCCAAATTTGCTCTTCACGTGCGGCGTTGTGAGCTCGATACACCCTTCAGGTGATTTTGCACCTATCGAGCTGTGTTCCTGGATGCTAGCCCCTGCTTCAGTGGTGATGTGCAGATCCACTGTGGGCAAGTAGCTGCAGCTCACACTCGTCACTTGTGATATATCTCATAAGGTGGATGGGGCGGCCAGTTAGAGGACGGAGTAACAAATATTGCAATTGTATTTTATTCTTCTTTGTCCCTGCTAAATTCAGTGCTAAAGCCAACCGACAACTAACAATTTTTTTTTTGGGCGGTCAGCCACTCTGCGCGGCGCCGATCACAATCTATCCAAACGCGAAAGCCTTGAACAGCCAACAGGTGCCCGGCCTGCGCTCGATGAATTATGGCCAACACGCAGAGCCTATGCTCACCTTGTAAGCGTCGGGATTGGCCTCGTTACAAATGAGTCTTGCGCACAAACGTGTAATGGCGTAAAACAGCTAGTCATTTTTTTGAGACTTGCGGAATAATTATTCGACACAACCCAGGGCAAGGTCAAATACGTAAGTATTGTTTGGCACGTGCGATGCGGACAGCTTCTTCGGCGAACCAACGAGGGCGCTCGGACATTCCGGAGATGCAGGAAAGGCGCCGCCACAACGCGAATGCCTGATGGCGCAGCTCGGCAGATCACCTGGCAGATAGCGAAGTGACCGTTTTTTTTATAAATTTTCTATACATACCGTAACGTAACCGTTTTTGCGTACTATATTCCTGCTAGTGTACCGGTAGAAAAACATAAAAAGAATATAAAAAAACAAGCTTCGGGCCTCATAGCTCGTAGGCGATTGTTGTATGTACCACAGAAAGAGCCAATTCCGCCAACCGTAACAATCAAATCCAATCCAGTATATCCAACCGAGTTCCATATGCAAGTAAGAACGTCCTGACATGACCCGGATCTGCATATGCCCATCGCGCGGCTAGCGGCACAGCTTCCTCGCTGCTCACGGGCTCACGGACACCATTCAGCCAGGCGACCTGTCTTGCATTCCCCATTCCTTGTTGAGGCTTTCTATATGAGCATTGAAGTCGCAGACAACCGCGCGCAAATCTTTAGAGAGGTGGAGAATACGGGGTATGACCTCTTTGTCTGCTTGAAGGAGCTTCTCGAAATAGGTAATTTGTCTCCGCAAGGCCCGATTCTCCCGCATCAGCTCTTCCACTTTCGCGTCAGCAGTCGACGGAGCAACGCCATGGACGGCGATCTCCGATCGATACAATGGGCTCGGCTTCATACCAAAAGGAGTGGGCGAAAAAAGACCGGGAGCCTGAAATCGCGGCGACAACAGACTGCTTTCGCACTTCGCGGCAAGGTTTTGCTGGCGAGCACGGCAATAAATTCGCCAACGTATTTATGTCCCATTTCTTTGCTCCACAACACTCCAACGGCGTTCATGCGTCATATTTTGGCTTGTCAACCCCTGCACCTGCAAAGTACTGCTCGTCTTACGGTGCGCTAGCACAGCGTCATCGAGGCAAGCTTTCGGGTAGGCAAAAATCAGCCACCAACAGTGGCAGTTTCTAATTTCGCTGTGCACCTCCTCGCACACAAAAAGACAGAACTGGCTGCCTTATAAAGACCCGATAGCTGCCAGCTTCAGCGACACGGCCAAACCCGACGTCTTCATCTAATCTAGTTATGGCGAGCCAACAGAACAATCGCAGCTACGTTCAAGTTGGATCCGCGGGCCAGAAACGCCGCGCAAATCCTCCACCGCAGGCACCGTCTGGCAACCGTCAGACGACTGTCGGCCTCGGCGAGGATTTTGGCCAGCAGTATGGTCAGCAGACTGCCGCGTGTGAGCCCGGCCCAGGGCCCAACATGGGACAACCCGACAAGGCTTATGGCGAGGCTCTGCATGGTGCCCAAGTTCAGCACAACCAGCAACACGCAGAACCGAGCTACCCGAATACAACTTTGGACGACATGCGAGCTGCCCTAATGGAACTCTTGGAAGCATCGCGTGCGCTGTCATTTGTCAAGCCCTCAGGGACAGGAGATCAGGGCATGGACGCACGTGTCGGGTCGTAAGCTATCGTCTCTACTAACAATACGAGAGAGCTAACAATGTAAAGTATGGTCGAAATTTTCAAAGCAAACATCGCTGGGAAGCAGCGGGCTCGGTCGTGGAACACGTCCAGTCCGTACGGGGATCTGACAGACCCGGGCACCAACCCGAGACCATAGTAATGAGGAACTCATGTCGTATCAACATGCCGATGCAAACTAGCACAATTCAAAGCCAGAGCTACTCAGACACAATAACAGATTTACAAAATGACATATCACTTTCGTCTTACTTGAACTTTCTATCTTTCCAGCATGGTAGCATCTATGGCGCCGGTGGCTCTAGCGTCGTTGTGCCTATTTCTTTTGCTTGCTGTGATCTTCCTATCTCCAAATCGAGACTATCACGAGTTAAGGACGTAGAGGCTTGCTTAGGCTCTTCGCCTCCCTACCCTAGTCTTCTTGTCGAATGACTATGTCGTTTGCCTGGAGAACATAAACTGTAGCTTTTTAAAAAAGACACATCTTCAGAATATCGGGGTGGCACTTATTAGGTAACGTGCGTCGCTACAAAAAGGACGCTGAATACTTGGGGGAACGCTTTTCGAGCCACAGAGCTAATGCTAGTGCCGAGCGGGACTTCGTGCGGCACAACGGGGAAGAGAGCAGAAAAGGGAGGATGAACGCTTGAGCAGCTGCAACAGGCCGAGACTACCGTACAGTACCGGTACAGTACTCCTATGCACACAGAGCCTTGATCAAATACTAATTTACATGTAAACAGATAATTGACTAAGCTTGATTTTGATGTACTTTGCGACTGGTAGAAAAATGTATTTGTGGAGAAATGAGCGTTTGAAAATGCTGTACTTTGGTGCCCTGTGGTGCCTTGTGGTGCCTTGTTGTGTTGCCGACCTTTACCCCTAAAACACACCGCAGGCGCTGCCACAGGGCACCAAAACACGGCATTTTTAAACGCTTATTCCTATGCACACAGAGCCTCAATTAGCTATTTACATACATCAATTCGCAGATAATTAGCTAAGCTTTATTCTCATGCACTTTGTAGCCGGGTAAAAGATGCGTCTGTAGGATAATCAGCGTTTGAAAATGCTGTACTTTGGTGTCCTGTGACGCCCTGTAGTGGTGCCCTGTGACGCCCTGTAGTGGTGCCCTGTGACGCCCTGTTGCGGCGCCTACGTTAGTCAGCACATAAGGCACTACGAGTCACTAGAATACAGTATCTTTGAAAGCTGATTTCTCCAAAAATACGTCTCTTCACCGGTCGTAAGATATACGAAAATAAAGTTCAATCAATTCTCTCTCTATCTATATATAACGATATTGAATTATGGCTTTATTAGCAAAGATGTAGCCGCTTAAAGATGCCGTGTTTTGGCGTGATGTGGTGCGAATCGTGGCTTTTTCGTTTTTCGATTTTCGATACCAAAAAGCAACAATGCAAAAAGTGGTCCTAATGATGCACCGTAACGACCTACTGGTAACTAGCGGGTGGTGGCCACGATACAGTACGAAATTGGTTGATAAACTGGACGGCGCGTACAACCAAGATGAGGAAGTCTCGATCAACGGCAAATATGAACCTATAATTCAGCACAAAGTGAGACCTAGCATTGGACAGCACTACATTTCGACTCTTGAGTTCATGTTCGAAAGCCCGAGGTAATCTCTGGTTACAAAACAAGCATATTTCAGTGGCGCAGACAGGGCTCTCTCTAAGACGTCAAACAAGAAGCGGACGTGGTAAGGTGGCAGCATCATCCTACCGTAAATAGTAATATTGTAAATTCGTATTTGAGCACACTACGGGCGTCGAAGACCATGCACTGTCCAGAGAGGTGCGACCTTCATGTCCTGCCTTCGCACCCTTGCTTCGCTGGAGTGACTACAATGTATGTTTTCCAATATTCTTGGCACCTGAAACTATCTATGTATACCCACAAGTCTACAGACAAGTTGCCTTAGCTGATCCTGCAGCCTTTGGGGCCGTCAGACCAGCCAATGAGACGGTTGGCAATGTCGCTGGCGTAGCAGTGCGTGGAGCCGCCATCCTCGAGGAGGCCGCTTGGGGCGATGGAACCCGAGTTGTATATGCGTGCGGCTTTGTAGTAGCGCGAGACGTCACTGCTGCCAACTTTGCTCAAGATTTGTGCGAGGCCGTCACCGGAAGGGGTACCTGTGACGCCATCCGCAATCATACCTTGAATGCTATCTTTGGGGCAGCGCTCTTTGTTGTAGCAAGAGTGGGTGCCGTCATGCGACTGCATGATTCCAGGGTTATTAACGCCACCGTTGGTGGTGGGAGCGCGCACGCAGCATCCTGACTCCTGCAAGGCAATGGCAAGAATAAAGCGCTTGTCGACACCAGACGACTGAGCAACATTCTCAATAGCAGATTTGACGTCCGCGCTCTCTAAGGCCGAGTTGTTAGCCTGTCTAAAGGCGTTGCACGATTGGGAAATGACATTGTCCAAGTTGTTCATCCACATGCTATCGAAGCCTATCCATTGCGCTGGCCAGCCTGAGGTCGGCTCACCGTTTCCTAAAAATGTCTTGATATAAGTCCTGCCTCCACTGATTCCACCTGTGTTTGTACCGGAGTCCGCATCGGGCTTGGAGGAGGTAGAGACGGAGGCAGGCACACTAGTTTTAGAGAGCGGCTGTGCATTCGCAACGCTTGCATCAACGGGGCTGCTCTCGGAGATGCCGGCTGAACAAACAGAACCAGATGTAGCAGCAGACGCGTCGGAGAATTTGGAAGCGGACACCAACGACGTCTGTCGGTTCGTCTGTGTAGGCGCATCAGGGCCAGGATCTGACTGAGATGATGGAAGAGCCGGTGTCTCAGTATACCCGGCGGTGAAGGTTATACTGCATTCAGTACCAGAACAGACACAGCTAGTGCCCTCCGCAGTATCCATGAAGCTAACAGTGTTGTCAATGTCACAGAGACCATACTGGCTCTCACCATGGCAAACCAGTTTGCCGGGTTTGCAGTCACGGAGATGTACGCGTGTGGAAGACGAATAGGCGACATTGAGCAGGCCCAAAAAGACCAGAGCAAGAGTCGTCTGCATTGTACGTTCCTGAGGCGGGAGGCTAGAGCGGCACGGTCAAGTCGGCTTCGGCGTGAACGGTCTTCCTTTTAAAGATTAGCTTGACGTGAAAGTAGAATAGGGTGTCTGTAGAAGATCATGCCAATATGTACGCCTGAAAATGCCCATCATGATGAATACCACTGTATGCGTCAAATGTGACCGGTATCAGGTAAAGGGAAAGTTCTGAGCGCTTGCTAGTCATTCTGTTTCTGCCTCACTTTGTAAATACAAATTAAACCAAAATGGGTGTTACAGTACATACCGTACTCTTACCAAACCAAAAGTTTATTACG